CTTCTGGTGGCCTTTCAGAAGGCACGCAGTGTTGAATAGATGGAAGAATATCCTTAGCTAGATATTGATAAACCCCGGCAGCTTCTCTGAAAAAGGTCGCAGATTGCACTTGATCTGTATAAGAGAAAAGTAAGTGATCCAATAGGTATAAATCCAAGACTTGTACAGGAAACTAGTTCATCATTACTACCCACCTTCTGATATAACTTCTAAGGCCCTCTGCCTAAGAACAGCACCGTATAGGAAAAGAGTCATCGCTACCTCGAACCTCAAGTTATCTATTTGGAAAAATTTTGGACCCCTAAGATGAAATAATGATGATGAGCTCAGAGCACTCGACCATCGTATCTTTAGGTCTGATGTCCATTGAACAATCTTGAGGTTATAGCCAACCAGATCAACTTGGGAAACAAAATTTTCCAACAAGGGCAGGTATTGCAGTAGTTTGTGAAGGACCTGGAATGTTTTGAACACATAGAACATAATTGAATGAGCATACAACAGCCATGACAATCTCATAAGAAGATAAAACCGAGACAGACAGACAGAGCTGAACCACCAAATCATAGGAAGAGAGGGAGGAGTCATTGGTTTAAATCAAGCATATATGTAAATGGGCTGAAATTGAAGGAATAAATCAAGCCAAATCCACCTATCATCCTCTCTTACGTGGAAATAAACATTGAAAACATCATCGTAAAACATTGTCGTGGACTTGCATGTTTGAAAACGTCTTTAAAGCAACATAACGAAAATTAAAATAAAACAAGTAAAGACCATGACACATGCATAAGAAAGTTATGTAAGTCCATGACAGTGTTTTACGATGAAGTTTCAAATGATTATTTCCGTATAAAATGATTACGTTATATATCCAATAATGACTTCAGGTTAAGTAGAAATCTAGGGTCGTTACAAATCCGAGGCATCTTCAGCGTAAAAGAACATATATATTCATGTATTAGAATCACAAAGGAGCATTTACCAATAAGGTTGGAAAATTATTGATATGTTACCTGTTGAGTGTGGGAAGACAACCCACCAGACATTTCTCTTGCAATAGCATCTGTGATAGAGCTAGTTTCATTAATGGACTCCTCAATCACTCTACGCCTAGAAGTCATCTCCTTCAGTTGTTCAAGTGTACTGGAATCGCGGGCAATGAATTTGTCCTCAAACACACACTGCGCATATTGACAAATAATCACTATAGTCTCAAATGATAATTAACCATAACAAATACTACTAAGCTCTCTAACTAGTATTTCTTTCACTACTCTTTATGATTTTCGATTTTCTTTAATCCCTTACTACTTATAGTTGAAAGACTTCTTCCAGAACTTTCACTGTACGGCCTGAATTTCCTCTCATAGGAGCCTGTGCTAGACCCATATCTAGTCTCCAACTTATAGCTCAGTTGAGTTCAGTAGTCGCTCAGACGAAAGTCAGCCTAGAATGAATCTCATTTCCAATTTTTTGGTAGAGTTTCTTTCAAGTATGGAATTCTCTCTACTTATCACACTTACTAGATAGGCTAATTTGGTGATTTAGTGCTCTACTTCCAAACAAAAGGGGAGGAGCTTTTTCTTGCCTGCTCCTGACAGTTAATCTCTACACGAGTTGTCGGCTCTGGTCTAGACTTTCCCACCCGAGGAAGTTCTAGGAAAGCCTTTAGAACGGGCAGCACAAACCCTTTCTTTTAGTCGGGCAACGATGAACATTTTATGTTGTATCTATTTTTTAGCTTTTTTGTTCTTTGGTCATTTCCCGTATCCTGGTCGATGGAAGATATATATATATATACACACACACATATGTATCATACGTGCCCTCGACCATTTTTAGTTCTATCTAGCTCTAAAGTACTTAATTGCGAAGATAATTGGAGACAAAATCCTAATAGGTAGCCACATGGCTTGAATTTATAACCTGAGACTGATTAAGGCAGGGTCAGAACTACATTACAACCATGGAATTGGCTCTTGAAACCTCCACCACATCACAATTCCACACTCGAAAAAACTCATATGGCAATTCAAATTAAAAAACCCAGAAGAACAGAAACATACCATCTTGGTTTTAAGCTTGGCCGGGTCCGAAAATTGCAGCAGCATCTTCGACAAAATCAAAACTCAATCACCGGGAAACTGATTCAAGTAGGAAGAAAGAACGAATAGGGCCGATGAAATTTTATTCAGGGACCCCTTCAACACTGATTTGCATTCAAATCGGCTCCAATAAGAACAATTATCAACTCAAGTTTGGATGAACAAACCCCCCCGCCTCGCTCGCGCAATCCTCAACGATGAACACCGAAGTAGAGACAGCTCGATACACGCGCTGAAGTTTGAGGCTAATTTGAATATAGTATTGGTGGGTCAATATCTCGTTGTTATTTGTTGCTCTCTGGCATTTACTCCTCGTTTCCTTCGTCGCCAAGATTTCGTGTTGATGAACAACAGAACTGTGGTGGGCCAATGGGCTACTGTCGTTCATGATCTATAACGGGCTTTTTTTTCGGCATTTAATGATTGGAAAATTTAATTAAATTGAAAACAATAATAGTGACTCATTTTAAATAATTAAAAATGGCTAAATCATGAGTGGTAGGGTATGTTAGACGAACACAACGCTCCACAATGGTATGATATTGTCCACTTTGCAAAATTAACTGATGTGGGACACTTTCATCCAACACCTCCCCTCGAACTCGAACAAAGTATGCCTCCCCAATTGAGGCTCGACTCCTTTGGAGTTCTCCTCGTAACCATTCCCTAAATTAACCAATGTGAGACACTTTCATCCAACACCTCCCCTCGAACTCGAACAGAGGCTCGACTCCTTTGGAGTTCTCCTCGTAACCATTCCCTAAATTAACCGATGTGGGACACTTTCATCCAACACCTCCCCTCGAACTCGAACAGAGGCTCGACTCCTTTGGAGTTCTCCTCGTAACCATT